TGATGTATGAAGTATTTTATTGTGTGTTCATGTGTATACGTGTACGAATATCTATATGAGTATCTTCACGGATATCAATGTATGACTGCCAGTATTTAACTCGTTCGGGTTGACAGTCTTGGTAGCACATGCTTCTGGCTGTACAGCACCGAGAGCTTGAAATTCACTCTTTAAGGGTGCTGATAATATAGGGAAAATGGTTTGTGGTGGTTCGTCTATTTATATTGGTCGTATTTATATGAGAAAGGGTTTGTGCAAGAAGAGTAAACATATGTTGTATATTTAGGTAAAGCAGAGTGTCAGAGCGCATCCAAAAAGAACAATAAACTGAACCGTGCTTCAGAACGCTGTGTCTTTAGGATGTCGTACTGTGGATATTGAACATTAGACCCATACATATTATTCGAGTCATTGTATATCTTTCAATTGAAAAATTGATCACTGGCGCATGAACACATATCTGAGATGTGGCATATTCCTGTATACCGATGTAGTCTGTACGTCTGTCTGTGGCTATCTAGATGATGACACGGCTGATTATATGTGTGTGCTGTGCAGATGTATCTGCAATAGCAGGGTGAATAGACTGCATAATATCGAAAGTTTTGAAAGTGGGAACCGTTCTTGATTTTCTACACAGAGTGCACTTTATTTGCACTGTAACAGTGCATTTTAAATATGAATGTACTTGACCGCATGCGACACACTTCAGGAGGTTGTCAGTCGACACTTATCATGTCATGTTTCAAGAGGTTGTCAGTCGACACTTATCATGCCATGTTTCAAGAGGTTGACATGGTCGAATCAAACAAATATTGATATTCAATGTCATAACGGCTGTCTTTATCAAGAGAGACATTTTGTACGCTATAGTATGGTTCTGGATACATATATACTATTATGTGTATTGAACATTGTATACACATATGTGCTCAATGCGATTCACTGATGCCTACTATTCAGGTTGTAGAGAACTTGCTTATGGGCAATGACTGCGCAGTTTTCTGGGCGACGGGACAAGGCAAAAGTTTGTGCTACCAGTTGCCATCAATGTTCACCAACCGACCTTCCGTCATTGTATCTCCACTTATATCTCTGATGGAGGATCAGTGTGCGAAGCTCAACTCCACAGTTTTGGCTGCTAATGGTATGTCTATGCGTGGATATCTCAAGGTTTTCGTCTATCATGGGGTAGTTTGCATCTATTTCAGAATTGTGTGTACACTTTAAATTATTTCTGTAGCTGACATCAATCCTTTCCGATCGACCGCCTCGGTCGTGCTGAACTCGTAGCAGAGCTCAAAGCTACAGTATTGGCACCAAATAATGCTCGAGTATGTATGCTTATAGGTGTGAGGTGTTTTTGCGTTTACAGTTGTATAATTACCCAGACATGATTATGTAGTAGCTGTAACGGACCTCTGATCGACCTCACGTTTTTGTGATTTCTCGTACCATTCAATGACAAGCAATATGTGAAGGTCAATTGCACAGCGATGGCGTCAGACGGAAGGTCTATACACTACTAAATTTTCATGGAAGATATGTTTGTATATTTGATAATGTATATATGTAAGCATGTGAATTTATTGATCAACAGTGTCGTTCACCTGGCCTCTGTTACAAGCTCAAATACCTATTCATACGCAACAGCTTCGATTGCGACATTCCAGGGCAGTGGGGAAAATGTGAGGGTTCTTCATCTTTATTATTTTCAGGATACACCTTAAACATAATAGCATACATCAGTATGTATTGCAGACATGAAAATTGTACATACACTTATCCACGCTTGTACAGGTCCCATTGCGACATTTTTGGGTAGCGGGCAGAGAGATCCCACTGAGGAAGGCGCGGCACTCAATGGCGAACGACTGTTCATTTACGTCACCCCCGAACGAATGTGCCGGAGTGATTTCCTGGAGAGTTTAGCACGGTTACACAGTAGGAAGCCATTGGCATTGATTGCTATCGATGAGGCCCATTGTGTGTCATCTTGGGGACATGACTTCAGGGTGTGTAGAAGTATTCTAAATTGTATTTCAGATGGGTTGTATGTCCGTGTTTGCTTTCGGGATGACTTTATCTGCGTCGCCGAAGAGATGTGCAGGGATGGTTTTGTTATGGGGTATGGCGCGATTCCAGAGTAGGATATTATTGACATCGATTGCTGATGAGGTTCATTTCGTGTCATTGTAGAACTATTAGTTTGTAATATCTGTGTATGTGTATTTTTAATTGAATATTATGCAATCATGCAAGTATCTCGATGATTTTTACAAGTCATCTCCGATATCTCCTGGTTACCTGACACGTTTGTACAATGATACATTCTTGGCTTTGATTGCCATCGGTGTGACTTTTCATTTCCATCGGGGTATCACGAGGCCAGGGTATGCCTGTCAGAATACGCAAAGATGTGGGAACATCGATGCTATTTTGTGGCTGTTGTATATTTGTTCTTGTTCTTGGGAAAAATATGCAAACCTATTTTGACGTGGGTCGATACCACACGTCCATTGCATTTCCCATCGATTGCTATTCTTGGAACGATTCTTAGATATTGTTATTCTTGGGACGAGTTTGTGTTGCTATGTAGTCACTTGTCTTGCAGTTTCTAATTGCGGCGAATGACTGTGTACTCTTTTGTAGGCGTCTTTAGAACTTATAAAGTGCACAAATGACCCGAGTTCTACGTGCACTGTATCCGAAATTAACACATTCAAAACGATGCCACTGATTGTATTGACTGTAGCGATTTTGCCCTGGACCCCCTACTTGTGACGCCAATATTATACACACACACACACACACCCACCCACCCACCCACACACACACACACACCCACACACACACACACA